TATTTTGCCCAAGCATCCTATCTCTAGCCTGAGGTTAAACAAATTATTTTCAATAGCATCACCTAAATTGCAGTATGTTTTAAGTGAATAAAATGGGACACCATTTGTTAAAATAGTTGTTTACATTATGTTTATATGAGACTAAGTTTCAAGAAAATTATAATAATCATTAACTGGGTTCTTGTGAGATTTTTTCCCCCCCCACAACATTCTTTGAATAGAAGCGGATTTTTAAAAAAATTCTGGAACCTGCTTTCATTATCTGTGTCACTGCTACTACCGTATAATCTGAACATAAAAAACATGGTGTTTTGTAACAAATGACTTACTGGCCTGACAGTTTTAGCAGCACCATTTCAAAGCTGATGAAAAATTTCCCAGGGAGATTCTGGGTCAGGTTTACATAAACTAAACAGGAAGCAATTGCCACCATGATCCACATTAAACCCAAAATGGTCTTTGTAACTTCATCTACATTTTATGTCTCTACACGTCTCTCTGTTCCTCAGCTGATGAAATTCCAGCCTTGTTTATATAAGAAAAAATTGTTCACTTTTTTGTGGAAGTAGTATTCTGGATATTGCTGTTTTAGTGGTTTGTTTTTGTTGCTGTCATTTGTTATTTCAGGGCCAGTCAGAAAAAGGTAGCTGCTTTAGTGTTTTGATTATTTAAACCTTACACACTTAGTAAATTTTTATGGTACCTTGAAGTTTGTGGTTGCATTGTTCCCCAATGGGCTACTAATGGAAGTTACCCTGTCTAGTCCATGTGCTAGATGCTGTTAGTATAAAACTGCCTTTGACTTTCACACCTCTCAGGGGACGAGTAATTGTTGTGTTCAAACAGCCTGTAATTGTGATCCCGCTGGCTTTCTCAGTACGCTTCTGGCTATTAGAATCATTAAACAACTCAGCACCTGTTAACAGCATTGTAAATATTCAACCTTGCTTGTGTGCAGGTTGAGCAGAATATAGGAGAAAGCTTACAGAGCCCAGCCTCATAAATTAAAGCTGCTGACAAGTCAATTATTGTGAAACTGGGTTTCACTGAGAAATAAATGAAATGGGGTGCTGACAAAAAAGGAGGGCTGTCTGTTTGCAGCAGAGGGGAAATAATGACTAGATGATTCAATGCAGTGACCATGAAACTGCGTTGTTTTTATTCTTTATCTTCAATTAAATAGTTAGATAATACAGTTACCCAGAAAAGGGGGGAGGGTGATATATAGTGTAGCTTTATGCGCTTTGAACATACGCACATTTAAAGTGCACAAGAGCGATAATGGGGGTAGGATCAAATACAAAGGGTGCATAATCTCTCTAGCTGGATTCCTGTTCTGTTTAACAGGATAGAAGTTTGTTTGCTTGCTTGTTTGTTCAAAGCACCTGTGTTAACTTGGAAATCCAGTGCACGTTTATGCAAAAGTAAGTTCCGCTGAATGTAATGGTATAACTCATTGATAGGTTTGTTTAGAGTCGCAGCCAAAGAGTTACATCCAGCATTATGCAAGGAAGCCTCTAGTTGCGTAGACATGCTTTTACTCTCCGCCTTCACACTTGGCCGAATCTATTCTGATGAGTCCCCCTAACCTGGCAGAATAGATCTGGGGGTATTTTGGGAAGGAAAATTTCATTTGTTTGCAGATGTTATGGTGCTTGGATAAAACCTAGGAAAAGTCTGATTTCTTTGGATTTCCTCTGGCATTTTAGTTTTTCTTTTCAAGTTAGGAAACTGGAAGAATAATTCCAGGATTTTTATGTAATCTTGAATTTGCTTTATTCTTTTTAAGAGAATGTTATTCTGTTAAATATTCCATAATCTGGTTTATAGCCTTGCAGTTTTCAAAGGAGGATGGAGTGATATGTATAATGCTCTGCAACTAATGTTCATAATTTATTTAGTTGTATACTTACTGAATTGGTCGATTTGCAATTGAATATTATGGTTCTAAAAATAACTTCTCTTGCAATTCACTCCTCTCCCAGGTTCTGTTGAAATTAAATGAAACATTAGCAGAAATTAATCTCAAAATTATATTGGTATATATATAAGGAGAATGTTATTTCCTTATAGAGGATCAGTTCATAGTATTTTCAAAGACTACTGTACTTCTTAACCTATAGAGTATAAAGGAACAATCTCTTGTGTTCATGTGTATAGCGTGGTAGCCTTGGTAGCAAATTTATTTCAGAATCAGTCACCTTGAATCTAATGGGTCTTATATCTGAAAAATCTTAAATAGAACTGTATTGCAAAGATAGGTTTGTTTAAAAGCATGTATTTTGTATTAATATTGTAATAAATGTAGATATATTTGTGACAGCAGCTGCTCATAAAATTATCATTAAAGCACAAAGGTGACTCAGAAGTAATCACTCTGTTTGGCATATCAGTTTGATTCATGAATTGCTTTAAGCCATAATATAGTTGGTTTGATTTTGGCTTAGCACATTGTACAACCCAGATTTACAATGTGATTTACAAACTATGATTTATGAACTAACACATTGTGTGAACTCAGGGAATTTATTTTGATTTAATGAACCATAGTTTAGCACAGCATGTGCATTCAGTGATAATCTGAGTAGAAATATAAGCAAAACTTTGATAATAGTCTAAATTGAAAGAAATCTGTAATACTCCATTTGTTGCATGGAGTAGGAATTCATATCTTTGAAGCATAATAGGTATTTTAAAAAATCTCTCATACGAGCCAGCTAAACTCAATTCTAGATAGCCTTGTTATAGCTAAACATTTAAGAACATTTAATTTTCATTGAGAAGTAACACAAAATTAAATAATTAAGATATTTACACTGTTTAATTTCTGACTGGATCATGCCTTCCTAAATTAGAATAAAATGTATTTTCCTTTCTATTTTGTAACTTTAACTAAAATGTAGTGTGATGTTTTAATGATCATTCAAAATGTATGTATCAGCAATATTTCTTTAGAGTAATTTCCAGAGTGGTAATAACTAAAGTATGACTACACTGTCATACTCTATCATGACTACACTATAACTTACTGTTCATGTGACTATAGTTATGAACACTATCAAGTTTTAAGCAACACCTTTGTGGTTCCTAGTTAAAAACGTAGTTGACAATCTGTGTCCTTATATGTCAATAAATTATTTCACTGAAAAAATAAAAACGTCCTTATGGTTATTCTAAACAAAAGTCTTAATTGATCCCTTTCCTTGGCCATTATCTCATTCTCCTGGAGGAAACAATTTAAGTACACTAAATGCCACCCTTGAACTCCTCAACCGCAGTTGTTTTAGTAGATGCTAATTTATTTTCAAGATTCAAGACTATTTTATGATCCTACATCAAGAATGTTATCAAGATTTGAGAGTGGGGATATTATATAACAATAAGACAGAATGACAGAATTTGTAGGCTGCTGAGGAAAGTGAATGACCACAAATTCACAGAAGGTCGGGGGGGGGGGGACACAAAAAGATGACTAGTAGAAATATGAAATGAATCGGAAAGATTAGTTCAGTGCACAATATTATATAGAGATATTTATATTAAAATGTTAAGGTAGTGTATGAAAGCTGGGTAGCTATCTAAGTATTTATGAGGTTTTTCTTATGTACAATTTGTACAAACTACATGTTGATATATGAAATGCATCATATTATTTTAGTAAATTAATTGATATGCATGTCTCCTCAAATTTATACATTATAGCAAATTGTGCGGTAAATATATTGTTTGATAGGTAAAGGAAGCCACCTGGAACTAATAGAAGCTACTTATATTGGGCAACAAGTATAAACTAATACATTTGAACACTGTTTATTCTCAAAATATTTCACTACATTTTACCTAAATGTCTTTCTTTTGTAATATATAGCACAAATGGTAACAGATTCAGAATAATTGGGAATACATAACATAAATCTATTTGACACATGCATTTTAGTAAAACACAAACACCTAAAGTAATAAAAACGTTCATGGAAAAATAATTGTGAATGTGCAGCAAAGATGGAAAAATAACAGAAGTACCCACAAGGGAGTGGATTGTGAAGATGGCAGAACTTGCAGAGATGGCAAAATTGACCTGTTTGATTAGGGACAAAACAATAAGCACTTTTATAAAAGACTGGAAACCTTTTATGGACTTTTTGCTGAAAATGGATAAAAATGGACTGGTGATTTCTGGGTTTGCTGATTAAAAGGGGTTGCATATGGGAAGAAGGGAACTATATAATGTAGTTCTAAAAGGGAAAAATGATACAAGTTTGTGATTGCTGCAAAGATCGGAAGCTGCTTCTTTAACTTTTTTCTCTGTTTCTAGCAATTTTTCTTTTATCTTCTTTCTTTTTCTACTTTTCTTTTGTACATTTGTTCTTGTTTATCTTAATTACATAAAAACTCTCAATAAAAATTATTTAGAAAAATAATTATTACGAATGGTACTGATCATCTTATGGCATTGTGTTTTTAGAATTGTTGAAAATCCATATAAAATGGTAACCAGAAAACATCCATACATCTTTGTCAATAATAACTTTATAATGAAACAATCATATTGTAAAATGTATTTATTCGATTGATTGATTTTTATCCCACTTTTATTTGTGTTCAACTCAAGGCAGTGTACAGTACATACATAATATTCCTGCCTCCTATTTTCCCCACAACAACTCTGTGAAGTGGATTGGGCTGAGAAAGAATGACTGCCCAAAATCACCCAGTTGGCTTTCATACCTAGGAAAGGACTAGAACTCACAGTCTCCCAGTTTCTAGCCCAGTACCTTAAGGGAGAGTAACAAATTCAGAAGGACAGAAATTCCTGTCCTTTTATCTCAATCCTATTCCCTCGATCATTCTAAATTACAGTCAGGGAAATGTAACATTTGAAGTGGCCACTGATTTACATCTAAAATATTTCATACTGCACGCATGTGCTAGGCAGTGTTACATTATATTGCATATCAACAATATTTTTTTTAAAATCTGTCCTGTTTTCATTTATGCAGTTACTATAACTTAGATGATGTGAGCCATGATAACATGAACAAGTTTCTTTCAAACCTTGTGGAGAAATCACTTCTTGATCTGGAATATTCCTACTGCATTAAAATAGGAGAGGTAAGGTTAATTTATACTTCATACAGCATTTCGAGAGAAGAATGGGGAAATTAGGACTTATCTGATTATTATGGACTTAAGAAATATCTGTAGACTGTTGCATTCTTTGGGTACCTAGTGGGATTTTCCTGTCAATTTGGCATTTAGACCAACAAGTGTCATTTATATTTGTTTGTGATTCAAATCTCAATACCATCCAATTTACACACCTCTGTTAGAATACTGCCCAAAATGTACTTAACTCCAGTCATGTACAACCTGCATTACTTCTATATCCAATGTGTATTTTTTAATGTCTAATAGGATGACCGCAGCATTGAACCTCTGACGTATGGCCGCATTGCTTCATATTACTATTTGAAGCATCCAACCATCAGGATGTTCAAGGGGCGTTTAAAACCCGAGTGTAGCGTGGAAGAACTGCTCTCAGTTCTGACAGTAAGTTATTTGGTTTTATGAATTAGGATGAATCCAAATAAAACACTCTCCCCTGTTGCCATGATAAAATGGACAAAATAAGACATTTGCTAGAATCTTTCTGAGATCTTAAGTTATCCAAGGTGACACAGCAAAAGCTATGAAGACCACTGCATTGGGATACTTGGTTTCCCCTAGTTCTTCCATTAGTTTATAAACTAGATTTCAACCAAAGGATAGAATTTCCATCTATATCATACCAAATATAAGATGATATTGGGGAGCATTGGGGAGTACCTTTTTTTCTCATTAAACTGAGAATTGTTTGAATACTGTCTAGAATCATCAGACTGAGTAATATAAAAATTAGTTTAATAAATAAATATTAACTTTCAGACAAGAGTAATAGATCTACTTTTGTAGGAATCAAAAGTCTTCATTCCAGCAAAATTTTATATATATTGAAAGTAGATCTTGTTTCTTTCAAGTACTAATTTCAAAGATTTTTTTTTTTTAAAAAGCAAAAATATTATACTGCTGAATATAATGAAAAATTGTGCTGGAAGGTTGGAGTGCTTTCATGGTTTTAATGTTAAACTTTGTCTATGCCAGCTTAATGTGTTGTCTGGCAGCCACAGGCAGCTGTTAGGAGAGAGGGAGTACATTTTTATTCAATAGTGTAATTTTTATTATATAAAAAAGAGAGAGACAAATATATTGGACAGCATCCAGAGAGCTACTTTGGGCACACCCAGGGGAATTATTGGGGTTTTTTTTCCTTTTGAACAGTAGAATTCCCTTTTCCTCTTGCTAATTGTTTTTGAAAGTTGCCTCAATTTCAAACCAAGGGGGTTCTATTTTTAAATCAGAAATCCAGAATGTCTCTGGTCATATAGAACTATATATAGGGTTCTTTGGAGCCAGACCATTGATAAGATAGAGGATCGTTACCGTAGCCCTAACTTTTATCTCCCTTTTTCCTCATTGTGACATGCAGCATCCAAAGTAACATCTCTTAGTGTCGGCCCTTCAAGGCAAACCAGACTACAAAACCAAAATCATTGTAATGGTCTGTGGGAAAGACCTTGGGAGAAAGCGCCAAGACATAGCCCACAACTGGATAGTGGGCAGGGCAAGAGGCTCTGAAGAGACCCTCCCTAGTTTCTCCAGCTATAAAGGAGACAGCAGGAGAACTGTACTTTCAGACTTGCAAGATTCTGTTAATATACCTTTACAAAAAATGTAGAATTAGCTCATCTGGTCATGTTGTCTGTCTGGTCTACCTAGTAAGGCTGACAATCATGCATCCTAATACTAGTTTTATTATAGGGTTACAATAACAGAATCCTGCAAGTCTGAATGTGCTTCCCCCCTCCCTCCCTTTATCTTCATGAAAATTAGGGAGGGTCTTGTCTGAGGCTCTTACTTGGATTACAGTTCTATCCCGGACTCAGATTTCTTTCAGCTGACTGTTTTGTTGGTAGTGGCTCTTCTTTCTGTTCCTCAAGGTTATTCCTTGTTCCCATTACACTTACAGGCTACAGTGCATCTACTATATGTAGTTCAAGTTCTAGTAAGCTGGTAAGATGGTCAATTACTAGATTGCTTACTATATTTAAAAAAGGATAGAATTATAGTTGTTTGAATCTATAGTGTCTGATTATATGTCTGAAGTTTCTGTAATTGTATAATTATGTGAACTCTCATGTACATAAAGAGTATGTGACAATTTATATTAAACTGCAAAGGTGTAAATCGGTATTGTGCAGCCAGACTTTATGCAACACATCAAAAGCTACATTCCAAAAATGACTGAGTCCAGCATCCATACATGGAGTTTTGAGAGGCTTTAAGGGATGAAAAGCTTGCCTTATGTCTTGGACTAAAGTTGCTTCCCCCATTCCAAAAACTTTTAAGAAAGAAAAGGGACAAACTCTCTGACCTCAACCGTTCTAGGTGATGCCTGGGAACCAGAAAAAAATGCTGGAGAGCTGTACTTTTTTCTTTTTTGATGTGTGTGTGTGTGTGTGTAGAGAAAGAGAGAGAGGGATTTTAATTACAGTAATAAAAACTAATACAAACTAAACTCAGAGAGAAAAGAAAGTGAAAAGAAAGAGTAAAAATGCAAAGAAAGAAAAGATAAAGAAGAAATAAAAGAAAAAGGAAAGATTTTTAAAAAGACGAAGAAAAAATATACTGTATAAAGAAGTGGCTTCTACTCTTCATCACAAGTATAAACAAGTTTGGTTTCACCCCTTATAAGGTTACAAACAATATTTCTTCTTGCATAACCCATCCCTTATCTATAAGTAAATCCACAAGACATCAACTTTTCAATCCTGGTGTCAGCTAAAAGTCTGTAAAGGGTTGCCAGAGTTTCATAAAAACATATCTTATTTTAACCTTGATCAGATAAAACAACTTTATATCCTTTCCTTTTACCTCTGAAAATCTTAATCTTTAGTTCATTCCAATATTGTTGTAGGATTTGATCTCTCTTCAATTCTTCTTTGTCCCATCGCATAGGCTTCCTCAAGGCTTTAGCAAGCGTCTTTTGTAAATCCAATAAAAAGATATTATCCTTGTCATTCTCTTGGTTTATTATTTGCATTTCCTCTTTAATTTTTAAAACTTCAGTATCAAGCAAGATTTGTTTTACATCTGTCGTTCCTTTATTAATATCCTTTAAACATAGTCTATCCATAGAAGCAGACATTGTTACATAGATTGTTGATACTGTGGCTACTAATTTCTGACCCCATTCTTCAAAGATTTCCTTTAATATTTCAGATGTTATAGTGTTTTGCATCGTTTTGTGAATCCTGATCCTAATCAAAATCAAAGGCAGGGGGGTTTTTTTCTGTTTGCCTGGAATGAAAGTTGTACTTTTTTCTTCATAAATTATAGAAATTACTGATAACTTCCTTTACACCATTTCATTGAAATGTGCTTCCAATAGAAGATAATGTATGTAGCTCAGAGTTGAACTGTAGAGTCCTTGGTGCTCTCTGAACTTGGTTGTTTGCTTGAAGACATTTCATTACCCGACTGGGTAACATCGCACTGATGATATTACCTAGTCAGGTAATGAAACGTCTGCAAGCAAACAACCAAATTCAGAGAGCACCAAGAACTCCACATTGAAATCTGCATTTTATATAACTTAAATCCAGGATTCTACAAATGTCCTCATCAAGTGGGAACCAGTAAAGAAACAATTACTTGCCTGCTGTGTCCTTTATGCATCACATAGATTTGCAGAGAATTGGCAGTCATAAGAATGAGCCAAAGTAATGGCTGGTTATGTGGTCCATCCAAAATTGGTGTAGTACTGCTTAAGTCAAATCAGTAAAATAGCATTATTTAGGCATTAGCTAAATATAATAATGGAAACATATTGGTAAAAAAATAAGAAAATAAGTTACATTATAAAAGGGTCTGGATTAAAACCAGACCTTCAGTCCTATCTGAAGAAGGGTTCAAGTTTTGCAAATGTTCCCACTTGAGGATGGCTTAAAAAGGCTGGTTTCACACTCACCTTCTCCTGCAGCCCCCACCCCTCCCCTCCCAATTTTCTCAGGCTCTTTATGGCAGTTTCTCCAAAACAGTGTTAGGAGAAGCAATAGGGTAGCTGACAAACAGCTTTCCTCTTGCATGAGAGTCCCATTGATGGAAATCAGACTCCAAATAGTTTAGATCCTCCTTGTGTAAATAAATGGGTAAAACAATACGATTATTTCTACCAAATATAGGTTGCCTGAATAGAATAACTACAATTGTAGCTGCATCCTTCATTTGAAGAGACAACATTTCTGAAAAGACCAATAAGGCCCTTTAGTTAAGCTTCTGCCTGCAGGATAGTTGATCTAATTTTTCAGTAATGGTTTTGGCTGCCATCCTAAATTATTTATCCCATGGCTCAAGCAGTGGATTCTACTTAAGACAGCTTTATTGGTGAAAGTTTTATCTTAGGTTTGCTCTGCTTCCAACATCAGATCTTCTCTTAAAATGTAGTTTGCTTCTTTCATTTGTCGTCTCAGAATAAATAAAATTAAATTTCCAATATAATTGGAATATGAAGGCTTTTATAAATGTAAATCTAAATGATAATAATAAGGTTGTTATCACATTCTCTTTATTAACATTCAGCCTAAGAGGGTTTTTTTTTTTTTTTGGTTCTTTTACTAGTGGTCAAACTATTATCTAAGTTTTTAACAGAATTGCCACTAAGTATCGTCCCATAGAGTCCCAGAACACGCACACACACAAACACACACACACGCAAGCTATGCATTAATGAGCTTCATAATTAAAGGAGTCACTTCACACCTCTATTGTTAACCAGTGGCATTGCATCTGTCCTGTTCCATTGGTGCCCTTCTCACTTACTTACTGAAGCATTTAACAGTTTTGGCAATAGGGAATTACATGGCATGGGGTAAGTAGTCTAATTAGATGCAAGTGAAAGTCCTTGGGGAGAGAGATATTTAAAAAGTAATTTGAAGAATCTCTTGATGATGCTGGCAGTGAAAATTGTAGGCTGTGGAGGAAAAAGGCACGTCAACATTGCAAAACATGGTTGCAGTAATAGCCATGTTGTTCACAATTTACTTGTAAAGTTTGGGGGGTAGAAGATTGTTTGTTTTAATTTATCCTGAATAAAAATGTGAATAGTTTTTTTTTCTTATTTTGAGATATGTTGACTGTCTTTTTAATCTGATAACCTTTCAACGCTTATCTTATAAATAATAATCTATTTTCCAACAGTAAAACAAATCTCACAGAAAGCAGATAGTGCTCCATGCTGGAGTGGTCATTCAGGCAAGGAGAGGATTTATACCAACATTAGAAGGAAACCAGCTTTGTTCCAGATGTCACGGCTCCTTTAGTTTTGCTTGCTGAAAATTCCAGAAGAAAAGAGATTATTAATACGTTCTATGGATCAGTGGCAAAAAAGAATTTGACAATTAATCTTAGGAGGCAGAAATTGAGTTCTGATTCCATTGTAAAAATAATCTCAC